TTTTTATCAGTCCACAAAAAAAAAAAAAAAAAAAAATATATATATATATATATATATATATATATATATATATATATATATATATATCACAAAATGTTTGTAGAATAAAGTGTTGTATATAATAAAGCAAATCATATTGAAACATATCGCAGAATATTGTAATTAAATCTGCAAATACCAACATATGAAATACAGCAAGAAACCCTGCTGTTGTCCTTCCATTAGATTAAAAATAACAGAGGTCAAAATTTAGACGAAATTTCTTAATTGGGCAGTTCATTCCACTGTTGCAACCTCTGATAAATTAGAGACTAAGCTGAAGGAAAATGAATGCATGAAAGTCAGAATTGACCGCTAAAATACAAACAAATAATAATAAAACTGTTTTTTCCTGTGGTGTCTCGCCTTTAAGTGAATGAACTTTTTAATGTTCTTCTTTATATATAGACAGCTGGTCAGCATGCAAGAGACAATTATAAATTCTAAACTGAGAGAGATTTGAGAAGCAACTCAGGGTGACGTTTCATATTGTGTGTTAATTACCAATATTATATTACCGTCAGCTGCTGATGTGACAGAAGTTCTTTAGAGAACAAAGGAGTAAATAAATAAACATGTAAATCAACATTACCTATGATTTTACAGGACCAACAGAGTGTAACCTGTGTAAATAAATAATATTGGTCGTTTTTCGCGCTTAACTATAAGGTTTAAAAATAAGATACTACATCCAGAAATCACAAAACATTACAACACAACTTGACAGAACATGTGCAGCGAGCTTTCATACAAGTCTGACATGCGATGTCTTCAACCCGGTACGGGTTATCTACATTACTGATGCTGTAAAAGGACCTTATGAAACTGAAAATAGTCACATCAAGCTTATACCGGGAGATTTCCGTGGCTGAACAACACTTGTGTGCATATAACCCATTCGTAACACCAAAATCTACATCAGCTTTGCGTGACTAAAATATTTTTTAACACATAAAACTACCCGTCTAAAAGAAATACTTCAGCCATGGTGTCATTCTTCCTCTAGTGTGCAAAACTAACTCCAATATTGATTCAGGCTGTTTAAAAGTTTTGATTCAGTACGTTTTTTTGTGTGTGTTTTTACTGTTGTCTCTCTCTTGTGTGCAAGTGAATGTACGTGTACGCGCAAACAACGGATCTGCGTGAATGGTTGCGTTTGGGCTACTTATCAGAATTATGGGAATTGTCGGCCTGACAATTTTAACTAGATGAACGTTTTTTAGTCATATGTCTCAACCAGAATATAAAAATACATATAAATATATTAAGATCATTTACTGTAATGATTACTATTGGAATGTGAAGAGATTTTCAACTAGCACAACAAAAACGTTTCTGAAGACAATCACCTACTACACCTTTAATTAAGATTTAAACCACAACATTGTACGGGAAATATCTAAATCCAGTTTTTCTAGACCTGAGATGACTAAACTAGGGCCCACAGGCCAAAGGGCATGATTACCTTTGATTTGGCCCGCCATCTGCAATAAAAATGAAGGGGAGGGTCAGGAGGAAGGTTGCCTTTAAAAGAGATAGTCTTTTCAAATTTAAAGCAATCTTTTGCTTGTTTGTTTAATTGTTGAGCTACAAAAAAATCAAGGTTGAATTAAATATTTCAATTTTGCGAATGGATCGGATTAACTTAAGTGCATTGAACCTCATTGTATTATAAATGGAATTGTTTGTTTCCATTGTAACAAGTTAATGATAAAGTTTACAAAATAATAACCCAATAGTTAACCTAACATGATTAAAGTCATGCTTTCTGTATATTTTTAAATATTTTTTTAGCCCTTTAACTGCCCCACCAAGAAATGTTTTGGGGAATTTCTTTTCTTAACTTCCAATGTCACTAGTTAACACTCTTCACATCTCATAATTTCTAAAATACCATCCTCCACCAAATGGTTCATTAGTCGGTTTATGGTAAAAGTACCAGAATTCATACATATACTATGAAAAATCTGAAAATACGAGGTGTAAAACAAAATTTAAAACATAATATATATATATATTTATATATATATATATATATATATATATATATATATATATATATATATATATATATATATATATATAAAGATTTTAAACACTAAATCATCTTATTTTTGATGTGATTTCAAACAGTCTCTTTAAATGACTTCAATAGTCATTATTTAAAAGTCAAAATATAGTCAACTATTTGGTAGAGCAGGTAGTTAAAGTGAAAAAAAATGGGAAATTACACATGAAAACTTTGTAATAGTTTGCTATATTTACCTTACACCAACAGCCCTCAATTATGTTTGCTTGTTGGCCCTTCATAAGAAAAGCTTTGGGCACCCCTGTTCTAGATGAATAAACGACTTAAACAACAAAAGCTCACTAATTACGTAACATCCCGTCCAACAGGTGGCGCCTCAAGCTAATACTGTGACCGATGCAAATTAACGGTGTACACGAAATAAACAAACGTGCAACTCGGCTATCATCCGAGGAACTAAAAATCAATACAACGCGTGTATAACTGTGACAACCGCAAGCAAAAGTGGTGTGGTTAGAAATTAAACACGTACTTTTTTTGAAGTGATGTGAAAGTCTTCGCGAATCGGCACAGCATCCTTGCTTAGACGCAAACTGCTTGCTTGGGCTATGCCGAACTCCACCATTTTCCAGTTCTCGTAGCTCTGCGGAGAGAAGTGCTTGCTGCACAAATACATTTTAGACGAGTCTGTGTTTGATGGCCAACCGATTGCCTGCAGCCAGAGTTTAGCTCTATCAGCATCGCGGGGGAAGCTATGAAATATGCCAGAGTCTTTACACCACGGATACACACACCTGCGGCCCATGAACGCGTCTCTCATCAACAGTCTGACCCGTCGTCTGTTGTGAAAAAGCGCCATGTGCTGTCATGAATAATTCATAAACAGCAGCGTCTTCTCATAGGAGGAGAACGCGAAGTGTCATGAATAATTATGAGACACTGACGCGTCGTGGAAGTACTTTAAAGATTTTGCCACGTCACAACCTGTTCAAACCCGGAAGTCTACTAATAGCGAGAGATAGCATAAAATCAGCCGGTTTTCTCGTACTATTAATATTAATGGCTACGAACTTGGTCAGTTCGACAAACTAGGATTTTACAAATGAAGCATTTCATGACTTAAGCTATAATGTGGATTGATTTTAATAACAGCAGATGATTTTCTTTGATTTGATGAAAGAAAGTGGAAATATGAGCATCCTTTCCATTCATTTTTCTTTCGGCTTAATCCATCCATTCATTAGGGGTCACCACCGTGGAATGACCAGCCAACTTATCCAACATATGTTTTACACAGCAGATGCCCTTCCAGCTGCAACCCAGTACTGGGAAACATCCATACACTCATTCACACACTGTGAATTTATTTAATTCACCTACAGTGCATAGTGCACTTTGAAGTGTGGGAGAAACTGGAGCACCCACAGAAAACCCACAACAACACGGGGAGAACATGCAAACTCCACACAGAAACACCAACTGACCCAGCTGGAACCAGGAGCCTTCTTGCTGTGAGGCGACAGTGCTAACCACTGAGCCACCGGGTCGCCCCATCATTTTCAATTTCTCATCAAAATGTGATTTACATAATCAGTTTACAGACTTTCAAACCAGCAAAATGTGAAGTAGGGAGATTTTTTTTTTGCCATCACGAATTGTTGAATCATTATGTCAAGAAATTAAAGGTCTTGTTAAATGAAAATAAAGATTTTTAGATGCTAGTGCGCTCCAAAACAGAAGCTTAAAGATATATAACACTGAAATAAACAAGTAAAGCTTGTAGTTTGTCACTTCCGCCTAAATAGATCAATGTTATTGTTCACGTCACCTCACACTACAGTTTCCCATCACATCATCATAACCAATCAAATGCTGTCTAGTATGACATGCCCCGCTCCCTTCAAGGCGTTTGATGCACTTGAGCTCAATTACTCTCACTGGCGGAGCGGCGATAAATCAAAATCCTATTAGCTTTTTTTAAAAAGGGGAGGGGCTACTTTGTCCCACCCGTCTTTCGGATGAGACGTTAAACTGAGGTCCTGATTCTCTGTGGTCATTTAAAATCCTATGGCACTTCTTGTAAAGAGTAGGGGTGTAACCCCGGTGTCCTGGTCCTTACGCATCATGACCTCCTAATCATCCCCATCCACCACATTGCCTCTATCACTGTCTCTCCACTCCTCCTATATCTTGTGTGTGGTGAGCGCACTGGCGCTGTTGTCCTGTGGCTGCAGTCGCATCATCCAAGTGGATGCTGCACACTGGTGGTGGAGTGGGGAGACATCCCAGATTGTGAAGCACTTTGGGTGTATGGCCATACACAATAAATGCGCAATATAAATGCACACACAACATAACCCGCTCTTCATGTTTCGGTTAAGATTATTTAAAACATTGAATAAAATAAAAGCACATTCCAATGGATCTTTGATATAAGAAAAAGCCCCAGCACTGGTCAATCATCGCTGAAATCATTCGTTTCATTCAATAAAGGGCTTAGTCCCTTTATTAATCTGTAGTCGCCACAGTGGAATGAACCGCCAACTTATCTAGCACAGGTTTTACACAGAGGATGCTCTTCCAGCTGCAACCCATTACTAGTAAACACCGATACACTCTCATTCACACACATACACTACGAACAATTTAGCTTACTCAATTCACCTTAAGCGCATATCTTTGAACTGTGGGGGAAACCGTAGCAACTGGAGGAAAACCCACGCAAACATCGATAGAACATGCAAACTCCACACAGAAATGCCAACTGACCCAGCCGAGGCTCGAAACAGCAACCTTCTTGCTATGAGGTGACAGCGCTACCCACTGCGCCACCCTTCCTGAAAGCAAAAAGAGGTTAATTATGAGATGCATGAATCTGCAATCTCAGTGCAGGATGACTACACATGAGCACAAATATTCAATCACACAGCGGTGCATTTTTAAAACAGCATTTATTAATTTCATTTTAAAAAATAAAAAATAAAACTAAAAAGGACTATTTCATTGTCGCTATAAGAAACAGTACGGAAGCACTGAGAGTCATTGAGCATTTCTAGCTCTTCAAGTATGTTCATTCTGTTCGTATGCCCAGGGACTGTGCCTCTCTGAGGGCACAGGGCCGGAGATGAAGTGGGGCCGACTCAGCTTAAGAGTGTTTCAGGTCCTCGGCCTATTCAACCCAACTCCAGACGCCTCTTCTCCAACAGAATCCATCCAATCCTTCATTCAGCAACAACTGCATTGAAGTCCAAACAGCAGCAAACGGTTTTGAGTAGGAAGAGTGAAGCCATGAGCACAGGAAATTAATTGAAGTTAAGCACTTAAGAGGAAGAGCGAGACGACGGAGAGAAATTAAAGAAACGGCTTAAAGTTAGGAGGGAAAAGAGCAGTTAATATGGTATTAAAAACGTGGAGAGAGATCTCCATCCAGTGCATGTTAAAACCACTCCAGTCAATTCAAAACAAGACTCAGGAAATTGCATAAATGTATATCCTAACAATAGTTACGAAAACAATGAACGACATGACTTGCATCATTTCCAACAACAAATAAACGGAAACTCAGCAATGCAATTCATGTTGACGGGAGAAAAAAGGATCTTCAAAATGTAAACAAACTCACTCCTTCAGTGAAAAAAAAAAGAGAAAGAGGTTGTAAGATTTTGTCTGTGTCTGCCACTCTTGTGCCGCATCCCTCTGTACTAAGTGCAACTGAGGCAGTGTTAGTCTTCATCTTTGATTCAAAGTCTCCGCCCTCTAGTCCCTTCATAAAACCATAGCAACAGCAGCGCCCCTGCAGGTCATCTAGGGTGCAGCAAAAATCGGTCAACATACTGCGACATGGCTTCCCAATTCCGCCACAGAAAAGCCAACACTAGAACAAGGAGCAATGTGGAAAGCGTGCGGCTGCGTGTTTTCATCAGTGGAACTACACAGTTTGCGACCGTCGAGACGAACACTAGGAGGACCGCCATGACGGCCAGCAGCACGTTGATGAGTTTGCCGAGTAAAGTGCGTGCAGTGGCGTTTTCCAAACCCTCCAACTGAACCACCTGTTGCTGCTGCTGTTGAAGCTCCATCTTAGAGATGCGCGTTTGACAGGCCTCCAGTGCCTCCTGCAGAAAGCAGAGTGAGAAAAGGGTGGTGAGCAAAACCTGAACGTGCTACACCTGTCCTGAAATGTGAAACCAAAATATTTTGTGCGCCTCCTGGTGGCTGGACGTGGTACAGGTCACAAACCCAGCCCTCTACATGTCAACAAAAGAGATGCAAGCCAAACCAAAACTCTTTTCAAAAGATGGTTAAAAACTACTTCTATTTATCCCTTGTGTACTGTTCAAATTGACTACCCTTTCTATTTGTTTGTGACTGCTTTTGCGCCATTGACTTTAATTCCTAACTATAACGCGGTTTACTTTTTACGGCCTCACAGTTTTGCAAATGTTTTTAGTGCAATTTGACATGTTTTTTCCTACAGCGCATTGTCTTTTGTGTCCTGATTAACAAATTGTGTTCTGCATCCTGATTGGCTGTAGACCACAGTCAATCAATCTCCTCCGTGCAGTACAGAATGTGTTCAGCTTGCCAAATATACAAAAAAATCTTTGATCTCTAGCAGTGTGACTCTGCAAGGCTATACTGGATGTTTGCAAGTTTTCTCCTCACCATGTCGACAAAATGTTCTGCACCGTCAAAGGCACCTGAGGTAGCACCCAAAAGACAGTGGAAGATGCTAACCATCGCACAAAAAGTTGAACTTCTGGACTTGCTAAAGGAAGGTAGAAGTTATGCGGATGTAGGGCGGCATTATGGAAAAAATAAATGAAGATCAAATGGTTTTATTTTTTGGTTTCATTCCATAATACTAGATTTATTTTTTCTACAAAAGGTTTGAACTTTAAGAGTTTTAAACAAGAGAGAAATGTGTGAGAATGTTAATGCCTGTCTGAGAAAAGTGTATAGTGAGGTGCGAGACTACTTAGCATATTTCAATATTGGGGGCTATTTTTAGAACGTAGCATTCTTGATTGTTGGTGAGGGGAAGAGGTAAAATGTGTCATTTTTATACCATTTAATTTTAGAGGTAAAATTGTGTAATCTGTTGAAATTCAAAAAATTATAATGCAAGTCACAACGAAAGGGTAGTAAATTTGCCCAGAGTGTATTGTTGAATTAAAAAAAATTTCAAAGCATTTTCCTCAAAATATGTGTCAAAATAACATTTGTCATCAAAAATCATTCTATTTACTGAAACACAGATAAAGTTGTGGCCAAATTCAGACTCAAAATCACCCCAGAGTGGATGTAAACATCCCCAACAGCACACAAGGGTTAAGGTGGTTCTTATTATGTTGATGTAGGTCTACGAAAAACAAATTCTTAAGATAACAAATATGGAAAATACTGACATTTCGAGCTTGGTGTGCAAAGACCTTTGATTATGTACATCATGTATTGGGTCTGTGGGAGTTTTGGCCAAATTTTGATATGCAGATCCACCTCAAATCAAGTCATCGCCATCAAATGACCTCAAACGTTTTGGCTTTATCTTTAACATGGAAAAAAGTGGAGATCTCATTTACGGTTTATGCTAAAGCCATTTTTACAAGATATGACAAGCAACATGCCACGGGTCATTTAAAAAAAAAAATAACGAGTGGTAAAGGAGGCTGCAAGGAGTTCAGATCATACTATTCGAAAAAGATACTAAAATACCAATGAATAACACGGAGCACAAGTGACCACCAAAATGTTTTAAAAAACTGAAAATAGACAGGTATGAATCATGCCTAAAAGAAACATTTTAGAATTGTTATGTAATGATTTACTTTGAACAGCCTGAGGAGATGTTTTTCTTTCAGATGTAGTGGTGACCGTTTGTTTTGTGTAGATGAATTTTTACATTCATTATTCATTCATTTTTCCATGGCATTTTTCCATCCTCTTAAATGGTAATGGCTGCTTCACGAATGATTGCAACTATAGGGCGAAATGCAGAAATCATACACGAATGGCTAATACACAACTTCCATTAAAGTTAATGCAAGACTTGAATGCTAGTAAAGGGTAACAGGGCAGAACATGTACATTTTAGCTGTAATGTAACATTAAATATAAGTGAGTCATATATGGATTTCAAAACTTAATTAGAAGACTAAAAGTTGCCCATCAGATCAATACAAAACAGCTTAATAATAACAGCTAATGTTGTTTACCATCTGAAATCTCAGCATTAGCATTCTCCAGTTTCACTTAAAAGCTACTTGGTACTGGTAAATCACATAGGACTAATGAAAAAACAAAGGATGAAGTTATGTTAGGACAAGGACAATAACTATAATAACCAAGTATGTATTATTTGTATTGATATTCACACAACAATTCCACATAAATGATGATAGATTAATATCATTAAAAACAAAATGAAAATAGATAATATGTTAAATAATATAACTAATTAATAGGGGAAAATCATTAAACAGGAATGTTCAGAATGCAAATGTATTCCCTAAAATCTTCCTAAGTAAATTGGGAAATATTACCCAAAAACTTTATTTATTTTCCCATAAATATATTTATAGTCCATTTTGAATGTGTGTGTTGAACAGTGTTATTATTTGTTATTCCTAAACAATTAAATCATTTTTATATTTGTGTTTATATTTATTAATTAAATAAAGATGAACATTTATAAAATAATACATTTTCATAAGCGCTGACTTAGCTTCCTAAATTAAATTCGAGAAAAAAAACATTATAATAAATTGACAAGAGGGCATGAATACTAAATATGAAATATGTTTGTATAACCTGCATGTACCTGTATGTCTCTAGCTCGTTCATAAGACTGGTAAGCGATCTTCTCCTCCATGCTGGCAAGCTCTTGCTTCAAGTTGAGAATCTCATTTTGATGCAGTTCTGTTAAATCATTCAACTGCTCCTCCAGACGCTCACACCTACAATGTGAACATACAAAAACTAGATAAGATAAAACAACAACAAAAAAAGAGAACCTTGAAAGGCTCAAACACCATCCTTTCTGTCTGCTTCTAAGCATGCACACTGAACTAAAACCTGCGATATTTTGCATGCATATCCAACTATCTGTCCATCTAGAACTAATATATAAATAAAACATTTTTTTCAGATATTTTTATTTATTTAGATAATTATTTTTAAAAGAGTGAAATAAATATATTAAACAAAATTACAAGCATAGAGTAGAACTTTGATAAAAATGTTTTTACAATAAATAAATAAATTTTAATTAACAAGCACAGATAAATATAATAGAGCAAAGATAAAAATGTGTTTTAGAAGAAATAAATGATTAATTATAAATTCCAAGAGTTAGAACCAACATAAAAATGTGTCATAAGTAAATAAATAAATGAAAAAACAGTTTTATTCTAAAAAAACAGTTTACTTATTCTAAGTAGCCATTCACACAGAAGTGATGCAGTGCCTCCGCCACCATGTTGCTGTAAAATAAGAGTTTCAATTTGCTACTGTAAACAAAGCTTGTAATGCTAGCTCCGACTCTGAACTCTTGTAATTGGTAGACTGGTTAGGAACTGACATTGATGAGTGGTGCTGCATGTAAAAGCTGAAATTTGTTTACTTTAATTCTTCACACAGCTTTACAACTCGACACAGCCTCTTAAAACTTTGGCGCTAATGTGTGTGGCACGGCAAAAGACGATCATGCATGCCCATTAAGCGAAGCATGTCTTTACATAAAGAAATCTATATAGAAGTAGAACACTGAAATGAAAAAAAGCATTCTGTGTGAATGTCCTGTAACTGTATTCAGATAGAAAGATTAAATAACCAAAAGTCAAATCCTGTGTAGTCTCTGTGCTCATAAAATACAATTCATCTTTGTTCTACAAGCGTTATCGTTTCTTGTGCCTGAACGGTGTGAACTTAGTTGAAATGTTTACACAGTCACAGGCCTTTAAAACCACAAGAGTTTAAACTGCGTTGCCTGGTTGTACATCCTGCCATTACTCTCGTGCATAATACAATGTTGTATGCCAATATTCAACAATTCAATATATTGTTATAATAAACGTACAAAATTGATATTGTAAGCAGGTCAAAACACAGTGAATAATTATTTATTTTCAATCATTCATTTCACATGTTAATTAGGCATACTACATGCTGAAATATTGACTGAAAATTCTGTGACTATTTATAAGGCCATTGTACGTTAAATGGATAGTTCACCCCAACATTTTAATTTACTCGCCCTCAAGTGGTTTTAAACCTTGATGAGCATCTTACCACAACAATAAGAGATATTTTAATGAAAGTTGAAAACTGGTAATCATGACTTCCGTAATAGGAAAACAAAAACTATGCAAAGTAAATGGTTACAGGTGTTACACTTTCTCACATAAATATCTTTCTATTTGTTCAAAAGAAGAAAGAAACTCAACAAGTAAACAAGCAAAGAGTGAGTAAATGAGTACAATGACAAAATGTTCTATATTGGGTAAACTAACCTTTTACACTGTGCAATAAGGCTCCAATATTCAACAATAATTAATTCACGATAAAAACTAATGCTTAATAATGCATTAAAATCATAGTCGTAGCCAGATTATAGAGCATAATCATTTAATTAAACTGAGTTAATAACGAATGCATTTCATTAGTTCTTTTTATTAACTAACATTAACATAATAACTGCAATAAATCTGTCGATCAGTTAATTTTAATTCATTAAAGGTCCTGTGAAGTGCTTTGAAATCTGAATTTTTATTCGATGTTTGATGTAATTTCAACATGAAAAGACAGTGGGACAGTGTGGCTTCTCCCCCTTTTGGTGATGTGAATAAGACCATTGATCCATTTAGGCGGAAGAGACAAATAACAAGCTTTACATGTTTATATCGGTTTTATATCTTCTAAATGTGAATTTTGACACTGTTTGAAGCACACTAGCTAATAGATATCGTAAGAAATAAAATACTGATACTAACATCTAAAAAAATTCATTTTACTTCATGTAACCTTTAACTAATATTTTACTAATGAGACTTTAAAGTGTTATCTACTGTACTGTATAGACTTTTTGTAATTTAATAACTTTAAAACAACTGTTAAATTAAACATTTTTGTAGTATAGGTCGATATCGTCATAAAATCTTTAGCAATTAATCGCAACAAGAACATTATGATACCGTCATAAGCCTACAATGTTGATGCTGACTGATATATTGTGCAGCCCTACTACATTCCAACACAGACCAACTGCCAGTGCCAGCAGAATTGGTTTCTATAGTAACCTGTACCTGAATCTCTCCTCCTGCAAGGCCTGCATAATATCCGTGTAGTCTCTCTGATAGTGACTCTTCAGGTTATCAAAAGATTCTTCTAGTCGACTCTGGTTATCCTTCAGTTCCTGGATCTCGTGCAGCAGTGTGTCGAAGCCAGAGCCCTGGCCATGCTCCAGTGTGTTACCCTTTGAGCTGGGAGGCCCTCCGGGAGCCCCCGTTGTGCTGTTTGCTCCTGCTGACCCTGATGTAGCGCTGGAGCAGTCGTCCTCACTGCCATATTTCGGGCTCGATTGCAGCTGCCCGGGCCCTGGGGTCCTAGTGCCTGCCACTCCTGTACTTGATACTGGATCATCCCCTTGCTGTTCATCCAGAGAGTCTTTTAGGGCAGGGATGTTTTCTGTACTTCCTAACTTGTTGCGAATTAGAGAGGCAAACTCACGAGGCTTGGACACGACTGCTCCTGCAGCTGAGTGAGTGGCCTGAGAGATACTGGACAGGCCACCGGTTACCTGAGAGAGGAAATAACAGTGCAGTAAATTACTTTCATTAATTGAAATCATATTTATAATGCTAGGTTCACACCTGAATGCAAAGATAACATGCAGATTATCACTTGACCTAGATTACTCGCAGGATGTTTTTTAGTTTACGCAAATTGAATTTCTAGAACTTCCAAGGGAGGCACAATTAAGACAAATTCTGCACATTAGCATTAAACGTGTTGCATTAAACGTGTTGCATCACGCATCAATTACACCACCTTTTAGAAATTTGCCTCTATTCATGTGTTTGCATTGACTTTGTATTTAATCTATCCATGCAAATACCTAGTTTACTTTTGGTGAGAGCCCAGCATAAGTCTTTTGTCTGGATTAGCGTTTGTCTTCATATACACTTGTTTGACTTGAAAAATCACTATTACTTGATGCAGAAAAAGACTGTAATCCTTCCAGAAAGCAAATCTGCTTTTATGCTTAAAATCTGGTCAAATTTACTTGGAAGAAAAATCAGTGGAGACAATGATACCAAAGCTCTGTTCTAAAGCTAGTGAGCCGCCTACCAGACAACATTTTAAGGCACCATAGGCACGCTTCCAAAACACAGGCAGCAACATTACAAAAGACTGCACTGAATCCCTCTTGAAGAAGACAATTCCAGTATGCATGGCAACAAGCTCAGAAAAACATACATCATACATCAACCTACATACATAAATATTGTCATTTCATACAAGCATATTTTTTAATAAAAATCCCATTTATATGGACTATAATATATTGGGTTACCAGGAGAGTTTAATTCTCTCTTGGGGAAAAATAAAATTCATGTAATCTGATCTAATCAATTCATCAATTTTCTATTGTAGGTTCACAGAGATGCTTCACACGTGACATTCGGATGTGCAAAAAAATCCAATCTTGAAGCAGGTAAGCTAAAGCAGCAGATGCCGAGAAACTTCAGTCAGCTAACTACAGCAATACATTTTAGTTTTAATATAGCGCTTTAGAATGAATACGATCCACGTCCACACTGCCGTTTCACCCAGCATATCTGAACAGATCTCCGTCCACACTACACCACTGAAAACGCACATCATGTGACCACACACACTTGCATGTGCTGCAGCATATGCACGCGTCTGAGCTCCAGGCAGTCAGCGAGTGCTTTAAGCACAAAACACTAGGTGAAGGCTGTGGGCTTTAGACTGTTCATCAAGGATCTACGGCTGGATCTAATCTCACTATATTTGTTAAACGTGATATTTAATTTAAACTGTTGTTTATATCTAACAACATATTCAATAAAATGTTTCAATTCAGCTTTATTTGTATAGCGCTTTTACAATGTAGATTGTGTCAAAGCAGCTTTACATAAATGGTCATAGTAACTGGATCAGGGTAGTTCAGTTTTTAGTGTTTAAGTTCAGTTCAGTTTAGCTCAGTTCAGTGTGGTTTGAAGTCATTATTGAGAGTCCAAACACTGAAGAGCAAATTCATAGATGAGTAGCTTTCCAGATCCTGAACCATGCAAGCCAGTGGCGACAGCGGAGAGGGAAAAAAAAACTTCACCAATAGGAGAGTGAAGAAAAAAAACCTTGAGAGAACCAGACTCATTTCATATACTACTTTAGTCTTTTAAATCTATTACTCGTTCTCAGTTAACAGGTTTTGGCTGAGCGCAAAGATAAGTCAATATATATAACCACGTACACTGATTCTGCACATTTGACTAATTGCTTGTCTTTATTTCCTATATTGTATAAACCTGTTGTATGTTATACTTTTATAATGGCCATTATTGATTATTTAAACAGATATTCAGCAAAAAATATTTTTCACTGAAAACAAAAGGAGGCAGTTATGTTATAGGCTCTGTTTTGTTATAAATATGCATAGTGAAGATGACGGTCAAATAAAATATGTGGTTGCACCTAATAATAAGGAAAAAGCACCAAAAAGACACCTCTGATTTCAGATGCCTCTGTTTCCCCCCATCCACACTGAAATGAAAATGGCCTCTTCAGCGTTTCCAAAATGCTCCGGCGCTCAGCAAAGCCAATCAGCAATGTTTAAAAATCCACTAAACATTGCTCAAAATGCAGTGTGTGTAACCTTTTCCATTACTGATTGCAACTGAAGTCTGTAGTTCTACTTTTTGAGTCAGAAGATGAGGTACAATAAAAGTTTCAGGCAAGTAGTATCTGAAACATCAGCACAATCCAAAAACCAGCTGTGTCAAAAGAGAAGTCCATGCAGCATGTGCTTATTTTATTGCTTAGTCTTCATTTATTCATGTAGCGCACTTCTTTATCCTGCCTGAAGTTTATTCAAGGTAAAGAAATGGTCAGTCTGTGAGTTTGTTTATTTCATGGCTTGTTTAAGTTTATTTCATATTTCTTGTTTGTATGAAGGCTAAATGCAAAGGTGAACATTAATTTATTGTACTGTTTAATTTCTAAATTATTATATAGTTTTATAGGACGAGGTTTCCTAGACTAAGCCAATAGTTTTTGAGAATTTGTATAGACTAAATTGAAGGTCTTGGCAGTTTTTTTAGTCTTTTAAAATATTATATTGGTATCAGCCAAAATTAAGAAATATATTGTAATATAGATTTTGGCCACATCATCCAGGCCTAATAGAAATATTTCCCTAAGAAAGGAGACACAAATACAAGGGTGGATTGGCCATCTAATCTGCGATTACGTGGACATGATTAAAATCTGGCAAGAATGTCAAACAAACAGTAAGTGCAACACAAGCTAATTGTCAGAGATGGACCATAAAAAAAGGAAAGGAGGTGCAGAAAAGCTCAGAGAAAGCAGAAAAAAAGGGGGCAATGCGGTGGCGCAGTGGGTAGCGCTGTCGCCACACAGCAAGAAGGTCGCTGGTTTGAGCCTCAGCTTGGTCAGTTGGTGTTTCTGTGTGAAGTTTGCATGTTCTCCACATGTTGACGTGGGTTTTCTCTGAATGCTTCGGTTTCCCTCACAGTCCAAAGGCATGCGCTATGGGGTTATTGGGTAAGCTAAAATTGTGTAAATGTATGTGTATGGGTGTTTCCCAAAACATATGCTGGATAAGTCGGTGGTTATTTCGCTGTGGTGACCCAAAAATATCTATTAAAAATGGTATTGCTTATATTGTTACACCATTTGTACACCAATTTAAGTAGTGAATGTGCATGTCCGTGGGTGGGGCTGTGCCAGTGTGGTAATATGGGCTGGTGTGGCCACAGTGCCAGGGCTTAATTTTTGTCCCAGTCCGCCCCTGCACAAATACTACACACAAACATAGGCTTGCCATTACTAGTGCATGTTGCGAGCTCCGTGGATGCATGGTTTTAATTTATCGATATAGAAGTTGAGTTTCATGCACTTCGTAAGATGTTAATCTTGCGTATGAATGCACTGAAAACCTTGCGTTTCAGATGTCATATGCTCCAACACTATTGATACAGTGCTTGTCTAGTAACATAAAAAGTACAGAGCTCTTTACTCAAGAAAAGAAAAGTGCAATGCATCTCGCATATGAGCCTTCCAGTGCGCGAAGGTAGATAAAACTGTATTTTTTATTCACAGTGGTGATATTCATGGATGTGACCACAAGAAAACAACATTAACATTTCCAGACATGCTGTAAAAAGCTATTTTACAGCCACTAGATTTTCTGACAGATTAGCCTATTCTGTTAAGTCATCAGGTAATGTTATAAGAACTTAAAATATATTGTGTAATGTTTTTTTCAGTGGATATTAAGAGACTATAACTATCAAAAAAATAAAAATAAAATCTAAACGTCTTTTTGAGGATCTTAACCATACCACACATCATTATGAATGTAATAAATAAGATGCTTGTTTGTAGCAAAAAAAAAAATCCTTATTAATGGCCTTTTTACATTTGTGGGTCATCTTGCAAAGGTTTGCAGCCATGTCCCTGTGCCTCTAGTTTAAAGAGAATTGGAACATTTCTACCCTGTTACGTGAATGCACAAAATGAGGAATAGGGTTAAAGGAAAGGGCTAAGACGAATTGGGATTAGATTGGAAAACAGCAGGTTTTGTGAAATTGGACAATAGAAGATTGTAAAATTGTGGCCTGAACTGATGAGTCTCAAATTATGCATCATATTTAAATGGTATGCTCAGAATTTGCTGTTAACAACATGTAAGCATCTAGCCTTGTATAAATGGTTAAGGCTGCTACTTGTATAATGTTGATGAAGATATTTTCATGAGACACTTGGGAGCCCTTAGTACCAACAGAGCATTGTTTAAACTCCACAGCCAGAGTATTGTTACTGACCACGACCATCCCTTCTATGAACATCCTTTAATGCTCCTTCCACCAGGATAACACAGCTTTTCACAAGACAAAGTCACACCAGGTCCTAAATCTACACCTTTGGGGTGTGCCTGGAATGGGAAAAAAAAAAAAATTGCACATTTTGTCATTTGCAGCCGACAAACCTGCAGCAACTGTATGATTCTTTGCCATCATCTCAATATGGACCAAAATGTTTGCTAAATCTATGTCACAAAGAATAAGGGCAGTTTTAAAAGTGGGGTGTGGTTCAACTTCACACTAACCAGGTACCTAATAAAGTGGCCAGCGAGTGTACATGTTTCACATTCCTTTGGCACTGACACTGACTCAGCAGGAGCTGTGGGTGTCTGGAACTGACTTATCTTCTCAGACTAGTTAACTAAGACCATTACAATGGCTTGTTGATCGCCTCAGATGTATCATTGGAGCATCCGCCCTATACCACCGCCACTATGAATAACAGCAGAATTTATTCATTGTCTCTAGAGTTATAAGGTTATCAAAAGCCAATGGGATATGTATATTAGAATTTGCATATTTGTACATTTTCAGTATGCAAAATCTTGAACACAACTCAAGCAGTTACATGCAAAGAAAAGCATGATAATTTAAAATCATACCCGTTATAATATCAGCTCAAAATATTAAACATGTCTGAAAGAAATAATCACTGACAGAAGTAGTA